TCTGGGCTTAGTGGCTTGGCTCCGGGGAGTTGAAAACATGGCTTTCATGGCTTATTTTTGTGTAGCTTTTTTCACTGCTTTTTATCTGCAAATAATTAAGCAAAAACTAGACAAATTCCAATTAAAAATATTATGAATAAAAATAATGGATTTGTTTAATTAAAGCTTAAATATTTTAATATTATATAAATCAAAAGCAATATTTATGGTGCATTTTCATGCACTAATCAGCGGTGCAGGGAACTTTTCCAGTCCTTGTAGCACTTTGCTGCCTCCCTATCAACAACGGACCTCAGAATGCCGTTCTTGTAGTTATAGTCCACGTTAAACCAGTCCTTGCAAAATAGTTTCACATTGTTAAAACGCATTGTTAACTATAGTATAAACTATACAAATTATTTCATTAAAAAAATACCAGCATCCGGTTCTGAATTGTTCACTTGTCCACGTCGCTAATGTCCTTCCAAGCATCGTGGAAGGGCTCGCATATGTCCCTGGTATGAATACCAACCGCACTATCAAACCAGGCACCATATTTACCAAGTGTCTTCCAAGTACCTCCCGCCTCATCAAATTCTACTGTGATTTTTCCGTCTTGAAGGACCTTTTTGGTGATTTCATAACCTTTTGCCCCACCTCGACCTCTACGTTGTCGAGGTTCAGGTGCTGTAAGCATATGTAAGCATTTCAAATCAACATGTACTACTACATTTATTTACTATATGATAGAACGAGAAAAAAAGTCAGAATAACATACCAGACTCACAGTATGCGGGGACTCTGTGAGGACCGGGAGGAGGCTGCGCTCCCCCCTGAAGAGCCAGCGCAAGTCGGTAACGTACCAGCCATCAATGTCTGTGAACAAATTCATATTAATAACAAGATTTATAAATTCACAGAAGATCATAATATTAAAACGAAATCTGAGAAAAATGACAAAGATTACTATTCTGTAGTTCTACTTATCGTCGCTGCTACATTGTTGATTGTCGCCATCATCATTTATGTCATCATCGTCTTCAGATTCGATGACTTCCTCTTCAACGTACTCCTCTAAAGTTTCATCATCTTCGTCATTAATAAAATCATCAACTACGGGAGACTTATCTTTCATAATTGCATCAACATCGGTAGTGACAACATTAGACGATACATCATCTCGATTCAATACAAATGAGTCAATCTCTGGTAGTTCCACTACTAGCTCAATATTTGTTGACTCCGTATCCTAGACTATCATCACGTCATCAATGTCAGTTTCTCGAATGTCCTAAATATGTCGATGTCTAAAGTGTTCTACAACCTTCCAGTTTGGACCGTTAAATAAATCGTCTACGTAAAAAACTTGCTCTGCTTGAGATACAAGTATGAAAGGTTCGTTTTCGTATCCCGTGTCTTTAACAAAAACACTTATTCTATTTTTGTAGTGATGAATCATTTTCTTTCCCGGACGAGTGTCAAACCACAAACATTTAAAAAGCATAACAGAATTGTCGTTCAAGTAGGACAGTTCATAAATATCCTCCAAAACTCCATAAAACATTTGGTTATTAGGTCCGCGAACACAAACACCATTATTTTGAGTACTTCGATTCATATCCCGATTGCGTGTCAGAAACTTAACACCGTTCACCACACAACCAGGATAACTTCGACATGAGAAGTTTGAACCACTTGAAAGCGAAAGTATTTGATCATTTGCTTCTGGGCCATTCTGCTTTCGAATATTGAAAATCTGTAAGGAGACATGAATTTTGTTTAAAATGAAACTTTTAACAATACAACAATGTTAATGCAAATTACCATAGATAAATGTACCTTATTCTTAAACCATTTTGGAAACTCTTTCGATTGAATTTCATCCAATGGTATGATTTGACCGCCGGCAGCAATCTCCCTCCTATGGTCCCGAAAGGATTGAAACCATCATCGGCCAACCCCAAGCGAACATTTCTCGGTTCACGTGAAAACTCAGGATACTTTTCATCTACCTCCTTCCATTCATTACCATCGACTGGATAACGCATTAAATCCTCATCATTTGAACGTCCACGCTGGTGCCACATCATATCTTTAGCTGTGTGACGAGAACCGTACAGACGCTTCAACTGATTTGTTAACAGAAAATAATGTAGTACTTTCCACGGCACTTGTTTAGTACCCTTTGTCTTTTTTTCTTCCAACGGGATGTTTTACATATGGGACACGTTTGTAGATTAGCGTTCTCCTTCCAAAACAAAGCACAATCGTACTTGCAGACATGAATTGTTTCGTAACCCAGTCTAAGTTTACTCATGAGCTTCTTCGACTTATAATGAGAAGAAGGTAACTTCACATCCGGGAATGCATCTTTCAATAGATTTAACAGAGCATCCATACACTCATTAGACCACTTATATAACACTTTTAAATGCATCAACTTCACTAAGAAATTTAAAGACGAATACTTAGTGCAGCCTGGATACAATCCCACCTGGAACTCAGAAAGTAGATCTTTAAATTCAACATACTGTGCATCTTCTAAATCCACATGCGTCTCATCCAACATTTCATTATCATCATTAATCCCAGCAACGTCTTCTAAGATTGCAAACATCTTGTCTACTGGTTGATTAACTATTGGTTCGAAACCTGAAACCGCTTCTACTTCACCATGGTGAATCCATGTACTATACAATGGATCAAACCCAAATCAATGTATATGCACTCTCACAGTTTCTACTAGATGCATTTCATGGTTTCTACATTTCACACAGAGGCAACTGATATGGCCAATTGAAGTTGCATAATTTTTGGCGACGTCAATAAAATCAGATAACCCATTCCAATATTCATCCGACAATCGGTTCCTCAAATAAGTCCAACTTTTGTCAATCGGCATTTGAACTATAAACAACAACATACATAACAATTTATTAATGTGTTTAATTAATTTTAATTCTAGTCTTTATTAAGACAATTAAATTTTATTAATTAAAGTTTCTTAATGAACTTATTAAAATTCTAAAATCCTAACTAAATTTCGGCAGCATAACGACTTATTTTTCATATGATCCAAAAATCAAAACCTACAGAAAAAAAACTTTAAAAGATTTCGGCACACCATAGCTGCAAGATGTGCCACCCAAAACAAGAAATATAAACATATACTAAATTTTAACAATATAAGAAAATCATAATGTAAATATTCTCATCATAATCTTGAATTCATACAACCAAAAACTACAACAATTTCAAATTAAATAAATATAAAAAACTTACAAAATTCAAACCCACTAAACGGGGGCTAAAAATAGCAGGATTACGTCAGAGGAACTGTGCAAACAGTGACGGAGGCGAAAAATCAAACGCCTACACCAAAACAAAACATCGAACATAATTTTCAAACACTAAAATTAACATTTTATTAACATCTAGAATAACATATAGACACAATTCTTGATCAATTAATTTCTTAGAACCATAAAAAATGACTAAACTCGAACAAAAATCCATATAATTTTCTATTTTCTATTTTCTTCTTCCATTTACTTAGCAAGTAACAACAATCTCTAACAAAAATCCCTAACATTCTTCGAATAAATGCAAATAACAACATGTACAAAAAATTACAAAAAAAAAAAACTAACTAACCTCGTCTCAGCTTGAGGGAGTCTCGGCAGGGGTGGGGGAGG